TTGTGATCCACACAGTCAAAGGCTTTGGCATAGTCAATAAAGCAGAAATAGATGTTTTTCTGGAACTCTCTTGTTTTTTCAATGATCCAATGGATGTTGGCAATTTGATCTCTGGTTCCTCTGCTTTTTCTAAATCCAGCTTGGACACATGGAAGTTCACGGTTCACATACTGTTGAAGCCTGACTTGGAGAATTTTGAGTATTACTTTGCTAGCGTGTGAGATGAGTGCAATTGTGTGGTAGTTTGAGCATTCTTTGGCATTGCCTTTCTTTGGGATTGGAATGAAAACTGACATTTTCCAGTCCTGTGGCCACTGCTGAGTTTCCCAAATTTGCTGGCATATTGCATGCGGCACTTTCACAGCATCATCTTTTAGGATTTGAAATAGCCCAACTGGAATTCCATCACTTCCACCAGCTTTGTTCCTTTTATATACACCTTAGTTAGTCTGTGGCCAGTATCCTTTGTTTTCACTTCCTGAGCTGCCTTGCCTCAGGGCTCACTATGGGGAGTGGCTACAGTCAGATGGCTGCTCAGTTCAGTTCAGTCACTCAGCTCAGTCATGTCCAATTCTTTGCAACCCCATGGACTGCAGCACACCAGGCCTCCCCTGTCCATCACCAACTGCTGGAGCTCACTCAAACTCATGTCGTCAAGCCTGTGATGCCATCCAGCCACCTCATCCCCTGTCGCCTCCTTCTCCTCCCGCCTTCAGTCTTTCCCAGCATCCAGATGCAGGTCTTTTTCTCCTTCCTGAGCTCCTTCAGGGCTCACCATCCCAGATTGGAGGGCTGCAATTACTGATGGTTGCGACATCCTCGTTTAATGATATGGCAGGAAATATCCCATTTCTCACATCTATAAACTTCAGTTTCCTAAACCATAAAACAAGGAACAGTATTCACCTTCCAGGCTGTTGTCAGGATCAACTAATAAAAACGTATGTGAGAGAACCCAGCATTGGGCTTTCAAAAAGGTTTGATGTTGTGTGTGTATTTCTCCATTTTCATTAGTGTCCTTGAGGGGCCTCCTCCTGCTTCTACAAATACTATTTATTCTTTGATATTTATTCACGGTGGGGAGTGTGGGTGCTCACCCATGCCCTGGGGACCCAGGAAACTTATACTTCCCTGTCCCCTTATATGGCGCCCTGAGGACAAAAGAACAACATGAGGGGACTTCTTTGGTTGTCCAGTGGTTAAGAATCTGCCTTGCAAAGCAGGGGACACATTCGATCCCTGGTCAGGGAACTAACAGCCCACATGCCTCGGAACAACCAAGCCCCGTGCCTCAACCACAGAGAGGTCCACAGCAGCAACTGAGGCTCTATGTGCCGCAACTAAGATCTGATGCTGGCATGCCCAGTCAGTAAGTCGTGTCTGACTGTCATGCAAGCCTATGGACTGTAGCCCACCAGACTCTTCTGTCCCTGGGATTTTTCAGGCAAGCATACTGGAGTAGGTTGTCTTTTCCTCCTCGGAAAGGGGATCTTCCTGACCCAGGGATGAAAACTGCATCTCCTGCTTGGCAGGTGGATTCTTTACCACTGGGCCACCTGGAAAGCCCAAGACCTGATGCAGCCAACATTAAAAAAATAATAATAATAAATATTAAAAAAGAACAAGATGAGCAGGAAAGGTCTTGAAGTGTAGGAACAGGAAAAAACCCAGACCCTTATGGCCCTTCCCGCCAGGTTGTAACCATTGTGGAATTTTTGAGCCCTCCTGTGTAACATGGCCTGTCCCCTTCCTGTCCCACACAAGGAAAGGTATGTCTTACTCTTCATTCACCCCTATATAGGGAATGCACACATACCTCATCCAATCAGCAAATGATTTGCAAGACCGCTACCCTGTTCCTTTGTTCTCCAGCTATAAAAGAAGACTAAACAGACACGTGAGGGGTCAGCTATCTCTGATTTTCAGGAAGCTGGCCTGCTGTACTGGCAGCAATCCCCCTCCTCCCCCATTCTAATACATTTTATTCTCCTTTCATCCTGCCTCCTGTCTGGGAATTCTTTTCCAATCTGCACACCAACACCTTGCAGTCAGAGAGCGTGTTATGACTAGTTCTGGCCCACAGGCTATGGTGGGGGGGCAGCAAATGTTGTTGTAAAACCAAAGCATTTGATTTCCATTGAAAGACCCTCTTCTCCACGTGGTAACCATGGGGCAGCTTTAAAAGGGTGGATCACTAAAGAGCTGTATGGAGGGCATTTGCCTGGAAAAGTCAACCCACCTGTGTTGGACTTACGTGAAAAATCTCTGTTGTTTTGAGCCATTGAGATGTTGGGGTTGTCTTTTCTGTAGCAAAACCACCTATCCTATGCAAATTCCTCCTCAAAGCCTTTTTTGATAGTTCATACCCTTCCTGGAATAGGAATCAGAAAATAAGATTTTACTCCTGGTTAGGCTTATTAAAATTGGGATCTATTCAAGTGGCACAGTTGTAAAGAATCCTGCTGCTAATGCAGGAGATGCAAGAGATGTGGGTTTGATCCCTGGGTCAGGAACATCCCCTGGAGTAGGAAATGGCAACCCACTCCAGTATTCTTGCTTGGAAAATTCCATGGACAGAGGAGCCTGGTAGGCTACAGTTCATGGAGTCACAAAGAATCAGACACAACTGAATGCACACACACACACACACACACACACCCCACGGTTAAGACTCAGAGCTCCCAATGCAGGGAGCAAGGGTTTGATCTCTGGTTGGGGAACTAAGATCCTGCATGCCGCAAAATGTGGCCAAAAAAAGTTTAGAAAAAAAATAAAATTGGGACCTAGTCAAGTATCCTCATACGTAAAGTTGGAATCAAATCAATCCTGTCTTCTCAGAGCTTTTATGAGTGCAAATGAGATCACATATATGAAAATTTTTTCTACAATTGGAAGCTCTATACAAGTGGAAGAAACTGAAAATTCTGATTAATAGGGTTACCTGATATTACAGCAACCACACTAACTAAGTTTCCTGAAATGCTGCTAATTTAAAATATTTTCCAGTGTCCTATAAAAGTATTCGAAGTGAGCAAACATATCATGACTATATCATTTCTGGGTTGCTGTTTTTCACATTCTATTTGAAAATTGAAATGATTCACCTTGTAGGGTGTCCAATATGGGGGTGGGAGGGTCTCTAAGGGTTAAATTATTTAGAGATAAGATGGCTCTCTAAGTCTTAAATTATAAAGGTAGAACATAATTATTTCATTCAAAACATATATATTGAACAACCATCATGCATGTGTGGCAATCAGCCTTGAAGATGATATTTAGGCCCTTGTGTGATCCCCTTCCACATGAACAGAGTGCAGGAACAGTCGCAACCAATGGGATGCTCTGAAAATAACAGAATGCAACTTCCTACACTAGGTAGTCTCCAAGATTCCAAAGGAACCAATTAAAGAATTCATAGCTGCTAATGGAGAATTTCTTGGTGAAAAAGGACAGATTCAGAAAGAAATTTTCCAGGTGATTCCATCTTACTTTATTTAGATAGCAAATTCAAAACAAGACTCAGGGCTCTATCATTTCTCTCTTTTTTCATTCATTCATTTGTCTGTCTACCCATCTATGATCTCTATGTCTATTTTAAAGTTAACATTCCCAAATGAGATCATTTTCATGATGCATATTGTTAGATTTTTTTAAAAGTTTTGTTCATTTATTTATGTTTAGCTGTACAGGGCCTTTATTGATGCTCACACTTTTCTCTAGTATCATGAGTGGGGTACTAGATAAATAGTAAGGCAGAATTGTATCTTTTGCAATTATTTGAACTTAACATAACAAATTTTACACGTGCCAATCTAGAGTTGGCAATGGAATGTGAGTGTGTGTGTGTGTGTGTGCACGTGTGTGTTAGTCGCTCAGTCATGTCTGACTCTTTGTGGCCCTTTGGACTGTAGCC